ATTCGCTTCCGCCTTCTCTTTGTTCTTTTCTAATTCCGCGTTCGCCTTCTCATCGTCTACTTTTGATCCTATGGGCCTCACTATCGCTTTTCACAAATTCCTCCTCGTAATCTGTTCCTTCTATCAACTTTTCTTAACACACTAAAGTATTCTCCACCTGTGACTTTCTTCCCTGTGCACGTCTGCACATACACACTCTCTTTCCGAATCTCGTAAGAAGCCATAATTAAAAAACTTATGAGCTTAAACCAGATTTCCAGATAACTGAACTTACGCGATTCCTTGCCTGATTTGTGATTCTGTCAAACTTCTTGACTCGAGACGTTCCTCCTTCTTCTTCGTCCTTCTGCGTGTATGATGGCTTCGGGCGCATGCTCTCTGATTCTCGCTCAGTTGCTCGGGTAGTACGAATTATGTCTGTACCTCGACACTCCGCCCACGCCTGCCCACCCACGTTACCACCAATTATGCCTTTAGTTAATTTGCACTATCTACTTCTTCGAGTAGTTGATATACCGCTGCCACCAATTATGTCTATTAGTTGGTGGGCCTATCCTTCTCCCCGTGTATCGATACCGCTCACAATCTAATGTCTATCGTACTGTTGACGTTAACTGGATTACTCACAGCGACCACAACGCACACGGTAGCTCTTCGTCAATAACACAATTTATATTGTATTAACAAGAAAACAAAAAGCACCAGAATATATTACACCTTACCTTCATCTAGCTTAACGCCCTAGCCTTCTGTATTCCTTTTCAGTATCTCCTGTATTTCAGGATAGTTTTTCATTCCCGTTCTAACCTACTATCTCCTGGATCGCGGTGACCGATGCAAAACGCCGAGTGAAGATGTGTTTCTGAATGTGTGGCATTCGCCCCAACTCCCAATTTGAAAGCGCGCACAAAGGCCTAGCTTCCGCTGACCGAGGTTACCACTGCTACAAAGTCCGTTCTTCTGCGCACAACGGCTGGTTTGCCTCGCAGTCGCAGGAGCGATCTATCGTGTAGAATCGGCGTGAATCGTGGCACTCAACCATCTTCACCTCGGAGCCACCACACAGCATCGCTCCCCGTGACCCAGTCACCAAGGACAAAAGTCGCAGGCTTCGTCAACTATGAACTCCAGCCTCGCAAGCCTGGCTCCTCATAGCACCGTCTTGGCGCCAAGTTTTGTGCACACGCACGAGTGTCCTCCCACCGTCTCCAGAACCTACCTACTGGCTCTGTCACACTCAGTTATATAGGCGAAGCCACAGTGCCTTACTACTTCACGCCACCCCTCGCTTGTTACAGTGAGAAAGCTTCTATAAGCCGGAAGACACTCAAGACCTTGTGTCTCCCGTCTCCGCGTTTCCCTTTACGGAAAAACCCTCTTCCTGTGGCGAGACTATCCGCTGCCAAGCGTCTCCCAAATAGATGCCATGAGGCACGCTGGCTAATACGTTACACTTTTTGCTGTTTCTGCATGGTGCACTGCTTCTGTAGAACGCGTCCATTGTCGAGAGTTCCTTTAAATCCAAACTGTCTCATTGAAAATTGGAGATGTCTCTTTAGTCTTAGAAGGAGTATCATTATTATTATGAATATTAATATTATAAGTAGTAGCATTAAAATGACAATAACATCTTGAAATGATAAATTATCTGCTACTAAAAATAAATATCTACTGTATAATATTCTAATCTATCTGTAGCAAGTATTGCAGTATAATCCCTAAGCCAATGACCCAATCTTGATCAGGTTTTGTTCGGTTTCCCTGGTCCCTTGAGCAAATGCTGAGATGGCCCCTTATTTTGCTCCTGAACAGTAATGTAACTTTGCTCCCTCCAGACAAGATATCATATTGACTCGTCAAACACAATTGTAATTGTATATGTGACTCAATAAATATTATTATTATTATTATTATTATTATTATTATTAAAGAGTACATTTAGTATCTCTACCAATAATTTAAAGAAAAAAATTGGAAATGTTTTCGAGAAAATTTTGTTTTTGTTATTTTTTTAAATTGCACATATTGCTCGCAACATTGTGCGAAAACTACTAAAAGTTAACGTTAATTGAACGTTCCTTCAAAAACTTAATTGATACCAAACATCCTTATTTTCACAAATAAAAGCCGTTTTTTACCCCCAAAACTTTATTTCAACTGAAATTAATAATCTTCATAGAGTTTGGAACGTTATGATGTTTCATCTCTGCCTTTTCTCAATGAATGATTCATAACTTAATTTAAATCTTCTGCTTATTGTAAGGAATTATTTGGGATGTTGAGCAGGAATGTACAACTTTAATAGCAGAATTTAAAGAATTTCATATGTTCTTGAAATATGTGTTTCATTGTGGCTATAAATATTTAAATGCTTTTTACCAGTTTAATACAAATAAAAGGTACTTCCAAATATAGGAATTATATTTATAAGAAAATATTATTACTACAAACATGAAAGAAAGCACATCTATTAATATAAAACTTACACATACATTGACCGAATGTTACAATTAAAATATTTGTGCATTAAACATGAAAATTTAACACATAATATAAGTTAAGTATATCACATTTATTTGTTACTCTCATATAGTTAGAAATTTAAAAAAATATGTAAAAATGCAAAGAATAATATGAGTTTCAATCCACAAAAACCCTTTAGTATATGTCAAATTGTAGAATTTATCACAAACTTTCCTATCCACGGACTGATATATATTTCTATCACTTCTTTTCATTTCTCCTTGTTATTTTTGTCTTAAAATGACTAGAAAAATACACACCTAGGTGATAATGTCAAGAAAATAGAAATTGCAAACAGTACAGGCACAAGAATGGACCTTTTCAAGAAATTTGTCTCTGGCATAAATATTAACAACATTCAGACAAAAGATTGGAAATTAAAGCATGAATTACTGCAGGAAATGTAGAATAACAAGAAACAATCAACTCATTTCATATGCAATAAAATAAGGAATTATGCTTTTTGCGATTCACTCACAATGGTTTCCATGAATGATCACAGATTCCATGAATAAAAAAGTAAAAATATAAACATATTTGAAATTTCTGAAAAAAAAGAAAGAAAAGAAAACCACAGGCAAAGTTTCTCATATTGACAAAAATCAGTCTTCTTTTAAACTCCTAAATTATCCAAGGTACACACCGTAAACACTTAGAAATGTTAAATGGAAATGGAAATAAAATCGAAGAAATAACTTGCAACACATTTCTTAAGCATCGCTAATTCTCCTTTCATGTAAAGTTTAGAATAACCAGGCAATATCATTTAGTCTTTTCAAAAATGACCATATCATAAAGTTTGACTTACTCATATGTTGCCTTGTAAAATATGTATTAGTATGTTAATAATTTTAGAGCTTCTTAAAATACAAGCATAATCATGGAACGTCAATTTTAAGTTTATCTCAATTAATCAATCATGTTTTCATCCATTACTTAGTGATACAATACATAATAAAAGGTAACAAGTCTTTAGATCGTAGTACATCCTAAGTTTCATTCAATTGCTCAATATGCTTTAAATCTCAATAAAGTAACAATTTACTGGACTTGTTTACCATAGGCACATGGCAGTGTGCTCTGAGAACCTGTGAATTTGAAAACCATTTATTGTCACAAAAAGTGCCTACAAAATGCTCTGCTTTTAAATATTAACTAAAAAGTAAATAAGAATTTACCATGTTATTTGTTAATTTTATTGAGAGCTGGGTGCTGCAATTATACCATCAACAACAGATATCCTATGGTTAAAACAAGTAATATATTTCTAAAGATTGGCTATCAGTTGATGAAAAATCTGCCAGTTGCAAGATATTTACTTTTTTCTCTATAGACACTATATAGACACCCATTTTTATTCATTTTCTTTTCATATTGAATTTTCTTTGAGTACACATCTATTATTCAATTGAGCACAAGCTTTCCATGAATACAATGACAATCTTGAAAGTTGCTACTAAGAGCTATTCACATATTTCAGTTTGACTATGATATTGCGCGGTTATGTGATATTTATTTTATGCTACACAGGGAAATTTACAATATTTATTAACAACTACGGCACCTCATTTAATTTAATCTACTTTATGAAGACTAAACATATTTGTTCTTTTACAGACCGAATTTACATTATGAAAGGGGGCAGATAAGTCATTAATAAAAGTCTCCATTGACACAGTTTTAAATACAGTACCTGTTAATTCGATCACATAATTCAAATGAAAGAACAGTGAATGAATATTTAAATTTAGATATCTTTCAAGTTATAAACTTGTACTTATGTAAGTGGCATGCGCAAGTAACTGATGCACATCATAATGATGGATGTGTTTCAGTAGACGCATGACAAAGTTGCATTCCAATAGGAATGAACTGGATTCAATGGAACATTAAAATACTAAGACAACATCAAATTGAAACCAAAGAAAAATGTAACTGTACAACTTCAGCACACCATTTACTTACGTTGCAAATAGTCATGTGTTTGACCATGACCAAAATAACCATGAATATCAGAAAACAATCCATATTACTTGATCAGAAAGTTAAATAACAGCAAATTTTACTTGAATTAATTGACCCCACTGCCTGACTTTGATACAAGGAGCTGAGGAGACATTGCTGTGGAGACAACCAATACAAATATTTGAAGGGTAAAATTGGATGACTATGTGACCTCTGGAGGGTTAACTGAGATCTTAATCAATTTTAAAGATTTTACACTCAGCCTTATTTTTCTGAATGGAAAATAATTCACATTTAATGATTTCTTCAATGATGAACACTATTTCTCAAGTTCTTTTGGTATTACAAAATGCCTGAGAGTACAAGTGAAAATGTTTAGCACTATGGTGACAACATGAGCTGAGGGTGCTAAAAAAAAAACATATCTATGCCGTTCATATTTTTATCCATTGCTACTTTGCTAATGGAAGCAAAGAAATTTACATTTAGTATATTATAACTCAAATTGAATATATCTAAGTTTGTTTGAATGACTATTGACATAGAAGCATAAATCATCTGACCCATTATTAACTATGTAAATGACATTAGCACAGAAAGTTAATTTTTTCTTCCCCTAGAGGCACACTTCAACAACACCAAAGAAGCTGCACAATAATATTGGAAAAAATTAATATTTATTTTTGTGCTGTGTGGGTGAGTGAGAACTTTCTGTTTCTGCGTAAATTGTTTACAATTATTGGGTTTTGGACATTTCAATTGGTGATAATGATTACCTTCAGTGGTGGGAACTAACTTGCATAAATAGAAGATGTAAGGCACTTTGCAACCATCACTTACAATTAAAGTGCTTAGAGCAGAAACAAGAAAAGCCACACCAGCCATAGCAAGCCTTCCACTATTCGTAAATGTTAATATTTTGATTTTAGTCAAAATTTATTGTATCTTGTTACTGCCCTAAGTCCTTCAATACAGTAAACATTTGTAGTCCATGACAAAATTATTATTAAATCAATAAAAGATATGACTGATATACATTGTATACACATCAAACAATACTGACAATGAGAGTAAAATTGGAAATATGAGAAAATTCATGTGAATATGAAGATTATTTTGACTTATTTTCATAAACAAATATATGCTGTTAACTGAAAACAACAACAACAACTAAAAACAAGACACCCAAGGATATCCAAAAGAATATTATATTTATCAAAATTGTCTTTTATCTTTTCAGGCTGCAAATAAATATTTTTGATTTTGAATTGAGGATACTTCTAGAAGTAAATCTAGTCATCAGGCACAATCTCACTATAGCTATAGTAAACAAATAAATGCTTGTGAAATACTGATCAAATTTTGTTTCAATCTTACTGACATTAAGTGCATTTTAATTGCATGTTATTTGATAACAGTCCTGATTTCATTCTCTTCAAGTAAATTATTTTCAAAATAAATAAAAATAAAGAAATTCAAGAGAGAATGACATCCCTGAGAACAATACTTTAAGAAACTCTTGTATTTATTTGTGTAAAAGGAATCACAACTTTATGTTAATAAGTTTTCAATAAATAAGGGTTAACATTTTTTCATTCATTTCATCTTATCATTATATTATATTTCAGACTCTGATTGTGGTTATTTTTTACTGCAATTAATACAGAAAGTTACAATAAGAAACATCAGTTTCCCAATCATACCCTCAGCCAATTTTTGACTAGAATATTAATGTACTGTAATACCAACAATGAATGGAAACAAATTACTTTATGAAAGTTATTTTGGTCCTTTCACTGAAGTATTTAAAGCAAATTATCTAACATATCTACAATATCCTGTGGTCCATCTTCTTCTGGAGGTTCTTCAATTGTAAGTTCTCCATAAATTTGGTCCAGTACAGCTGATCTGGGATGACTAATTGCATCAATATTCACAGTACCTTTTTGCTGACTAGCTTCACAAGTGTCCCTGTGGGGGAAAAAAAGTATCAAAAAAACCCTATATGTTCAAATATCAACTCAAAAATACCTAATGTCCTCTGTAAATGACAGAACTTTAAACCAAATATTATAAATCTCTCTAGAAATGTTGAACTTTGTTGAGAATGTAATTCTCTTCATTGTTTGATTGTTATTCACACACATCAAGAAAGTTAGATTCTACTTCCATGTGAGGAGTCAGAAAAGAGAACTCAATTTAAAAATGAATAAAGTACACAAACTGATGCAAGTTACTTCACATACATTGTGAGTCTACATGGGTGTTAGTAAGTCAGCAGGTACACCTTATTTTAAGGCTTTATCAAAGAAAAGGTTGGAGATATACAGAAGCCTTGCCTTAATCCTTTATTCAATAGGAAGTCATCTGATAGGCATTTTCCCACTTTTATTTGACTTTTGTTATCTTTATAAAGTTGTTGGACTCCATTTATATATGTTCTTGATATTATTTTTTCTTCCACCATTCCCCCCCCCCCTTTTCTTTTACTAGTTACATTATCCTAAGCCTTGTTTCGGATCTATAAAAATTCTGGTGTAGTTTCTCTTCTCCCTCCCTTTCCTTCCCTTTCCTGTGTACATATGTATGTATGAAGTAATATACGTTGTATAGAGAAAGTTATGTAATGCTGTGGAAAATAGACTTCAATATTTCAAAGGAAATACACATTTTGGCAGAGTGGGATTTCGGGTATTTTATGATGGGGGCAAATTTAGGTGCTATTATAAACATGAAAATATTCATATATATTAATGCATTAAGTTACTTGTGCTGCAATTATATACACTATTTTCAATTTTGTTAATTATTTAATTGATTATTATTGTATGTTGTTAATTAGATTAGAACACACAGGTGACAATCCTCATTGTTATTTGAATGGTCCGAACAGTAAATTCAATGATGCATTTTTCTTAGAGAATCATATATTGAAATATCAAAAATGTTTATTGTTTATTATGGTCTCAAATGTTTATACATAACTATAAGATACATATTTTAAAATCTACATTAATAAATCCTTTTGATTAAAACACACTCTTCTGTTTTTGGCAAGAACAAAGTTTTTTTAGTTTTATTTATAGAGAAGGTGATAATTTGGGCCCCCACTTTTATATCAACGTTAGAAAAATGAATTAAATTATTTTTAAAAAACAAATATGATAATTTCATGTTCAAAATTTGTGTAAACTTTATAAAACTATGAACTTTACTAACTGTTCAGAAAGTGGGTAAAAAAACAATAATTGAAAAGAAGTTGTGTTTTAAAAACTAGTGGTGCTACAGAATGGCACAGATTTTCTTGTATTAGTTTTCTATTTTCTTTGGTCTGGGTTAGCTATTTGATCTTGCTGCACACTCTTACCAGCTGCCATCTATGGCCGCCCAAAGTACATTTTTTTGAACTTATCTCAATTTTTCGGTCGTTGAACCGAAATTTTACTTTAAGAATTTTATATTCAATAATTAAAATAGATTACGAAAATTCAACGGTTAATATACGTTTTGGGGTACTCTAATATTGAAAAAAGTGTTGTTTTTGCACTCCAAAACATCCGTCCGTCTGATGTATGTGAATAACCTAAACTAGTGACTAGACTGTGCCAACGATTTTTTTCAAACTGAATAAACGCCTGACGATCTGGCCTGATTAGAAGCTCTGAGATTCTGAGAAACATAATTTTTTTGGGATACTTTACATGAAGCTCTTGGGACATTTTCATAATTTTCTCAAAAATGACTATGAAAAGCTCAAACGCCATTTTTTTTAAAACAGCTTCAAATTTTTTCTTCAGCTTTTCGAACGTTTTTTCCAAAAACACAAATGTAATTTTTTTTGAAAGATGCTTATGTTTCAGATGCACATGTCCTGCAATTTGTAAACACTATTGTATTTGCGAGTTTAAGTGCTTCAAATGATTTCTCATTGTTTTTCGAAATTGTAAACCTTTTCTGTGAAAAAGCTTAATATTTCGAATTTACAGTCGTGCTTAAACGCCATTTCCTTAAAAACGGCTCTCAATTTTTCAAAGAAAATTGTCATTTAGTACGAGGTTTTACTGTTCTTTCACATTCTTAATATAATATTTCCGCTCTACAATTAGGAAGCTGAAAATTTCAAAACAATTTCTTTGGGCGGCAATAGATGTCAGTTGGCAAGTTCGACTAGCTGGCCGAGACCATAGGAAATAGAAAAGTAATACAGGAAAGTCTGTGTCATTCTGTACCATTGCTAGTTTCTATTAGTTGAGGCAGAAAATGTAGTCAATATGGACCGCCGTGGCCAAAATCCACTTTGCTCTTCTGAGTCTGACATTTGCATTTCAATTCTATTCTTTAGCAGATGTCCATACAGTCTAATCAATGATGAAGTCACTCTTATTGCTCTATTGTAACTATATATTTATCGCTATTTGTAAATTAAATTTATGAATGCGAATTTCTATATTTGTGGTATTTTACCCTTTTAAAAATAATGTTGCATATTTTGATCAGTAATTCCAAAGCCACAATAGGATAATGTTTAAGAAGCTCTAAGGATATACCTCCAGGCTCCGGGTCTTTATTATTTTTTATGTTTCTTAAAACTGTTTTACCTCTTCCAAAGTTATCTCTGGTATGATCGAATTTACCTGCAGTGGTTCATAATCCGGCCCATGGCCGGAAGCCTTTCGCGCTACACGGGATGGGTGCTTTGGGCAGAGGCAAGAGCAGGCACACAAAATGTAAGAACCAAAAATGTTGTACGGGAAAGTTATGACTGATTTATCTATTTACTAACAACATAAAATATTTTTAAAATGCCGGCTCAAAGAAAAATTAGAATGATGTCTTGTTAAACGTTACCGGCAAACTCTTCACTGTTTATAACAATAATATATTATTATGGAATCTGCATATTAAACAAATAAGAAAATTTTAATAAAATTATTAAAGTAATGAATGAAAAATAGTAAAATATAACTTAGGTAATTAGGTAAGTAAGTAAGGTAGGCAAAAAAATTGCAAAGTAAATGCTCAAAGCAGGCCCTCTCGTTGGCCACGGCTCAAAGTGACCACCATTTGCCAAAAGATATATAGGCGTTGCCACTGCCATACACTGGCAAAGCCACTGCCATACGCTGAAGGGTAACAAGGACAAAATAAGTTATTTCTCTTTCTTTCAACTAAAATTGGCACTCTCCCTCAGCCCGAGATCTGAGGGCATGCGGCCGGACGCCGCTAAAAGTTAAAGGGACGGTGAAGGTTTTTTACGCGATGCCAAAGTGCAAAAACAAAGAGGTGATTTTCCAGACATGGGTTACGAGTTAAGATAAATATCCGTTACATTGATGTTTGTAAAAATTGCAACACTTAGGAGACATTCTATTACAACGCAATTTATTCCACATATTAGGAATGTCACAATACACAAATGATTAGAATTATAGAACTGTATCTGCATTTTGAGTATTTAGTACGGTGTTAAGCCGCCACGCGCTACCAGCAGAGGCTCTAGACGTCGTCGCACGGACTCAAAGAGAGCCTGGATATGCTGCTGGGGAACACACTGCCACAAGGTTTCTGTACAAGGCATCGACAGTGTCTGCAGGAGAACCAGTACGAACACGTTGCTGACCGATCATATTCCAGACATGGTCGATGAGCGACAAGCCAGGGAAGCAGTGGTACCGGCCGTTCTTCGTAGAAAATTTGCACGTTCCTCGCCACAAGCGGTTGCGCATTGTGCTGCTGAAATATCGAATGTGGAGCTGCTTGCAGGAGAAGCAGAACTTCGGGCTTTCAAACCTCCCTGAAGTAGCTGTTTCTGTTCAGATGGTTCTCAATATGTACAAGGCGAGATCTTACATTGTATCCAATGGCGGCCCAAACTATCTTGTTAGTCCACTACGGCGCGGAACAATGCAGGCTGGCTTCGATAACAACGGTAGCGTCGAACACGTACGCTGCCATCTCTGTAACACAAACTGGAGGGGCTCAGAGATGTTTTGCCACTCAGCACACTAGAGAACACGTTCACGTGCCTATTGCTGTCTGATGCGTTGGTGGTTTCTGGTCAACGGAATCTGACGCAGTGGTATATGTGCCAGCAGTCCGGCCCTCAGCGAACGGCGTCGACCTGCCGACGCAGACACGACTGCACTCGTTGCAGTGCTCCAAAGTCGAGCCAACACTGTGAACGACGCCGTTATATCGGTTACAGCCTTGCGGAAAAGATGGCGGTCATTTCTCGCAATGGACACACTGTGTGGACCAGTGCCCGCTCGTCAGTGGTTTCACACATGCATCACTCTCGTAACAGCGCGCCCCGTTCGAGCAGCAATGCGACAGAACGACAAACCCGCGTCCTGAAGACCGATCATTCTGCCCCGTTCCAACTCACTCAGATGCTGATATTGTGATCTTTGGCGTCGAAGGCATACCGTCACTTGCTTGCACGTTTCCATGTCGTTTAACCGCTCTACGTCGACTGAGTATGGCGTAAGTGACCGGACCTGTCATACAAAGAAGGACGCTGCTAGATCAAAGTGTACATCATCTCTATGAAATCACTTCTTGAGGATACACTGTTCTACACGCCCACCGAACAATTATTCCGAGCATTCCTTCTAGGTGATGCAATTTTCAAAAACACCAGTGTATATATACCATAGTATATAAAGGGTGCTACCAATACGTCTAATCTGTCACATTTTTGTTTGCAAAATAGACTTTTTGCCTCCACTTTCTGGACCAAATACTTTATTTTGTTATATTCACTTCTATCATCTAAATTCATTGTTGAAAGCCATTTCAAATATGGATTTTTTCTTCAACTAGGTTTTCTTACACATTCTGCCCACCAGAAGCGTCTAGTTTCACATTCACATTTTCCCTTTTTTCCTAGAGCTGCAATGTGAGTGCATTTTTCCAAAAAGTGTACTTATCTTCAGCATTTCCTATTGGGATGTACTTTAACTTTTTTGTCATGCGAAATTTGTACAAAACTGCAGTGGAATCATCTTGAAGGCTTTCAATATTATACCTCGGCCATATCTGACACTTCATTTTTCTATTTTTTTAATTTGAATATAATATTTTTTTGAATTTAATATGTTTCCATATCTTTCGAAGTGAGGTTTATACAGAAAGTAAGCTTTTCCTTTTAGTAATTAGTGAATAGAGATCTATTTGTTACATACACATTCCTATATTATCTCTGGTTGTAATAATGCGTTTTAAGCAATGGAGTTTTTCAAACAGGTTTTGAGGAACAAGGCTGGGTCCTGTAGAACTACTTTGAGCACTGGCGTAACAAAATGTGGAATAGTGGCCACTCTTGTTATATTGCACGGTTGCACAACCCCCCGGTAAAAAGATTTGAAAATTGTTGGAAATACACATTTTCGTTTTAATAACATTCAATATTCAAGATATTGCAGCAAAATCGATATAAAAGTGCTCTCTCTCAGAGGCCTTGCACGGTGTCACGCTCTTGTGGTGGCTTTTATTATTGCAGTTGCCCTTGGGCTCTGCGCGTCAACGCGGGGCTCAATAGGGCCTTCGGGTGCGCAACCAGCGGGTGGGAGTGCATTCTCCCACCCCCAAAAATATTTCTGCAAACCACTAATTTTAACCCACGAAACTTTTAAGTAACTACGACGCTAGAGCAGCACGTACTTTCTCGACCGTATTTTCACACCAAATTACGCGAAAAGTACTCGAAAAATTGTACATGACCTTATTTCAAAATTTATCTTTATGGAACAGATTTCATAAACGGGAAATATCTCTTATCTTTAATATTTTAGTTGTAGGAAGACTCCGAAAACAATTGAACTTTTGCAATTTTTAAAAAATGACGATTTTCAACGAGCGTGGTGACTGCACCATTTCCGGTGTCACCTCCATTTTCCTAAACGTCCTTCACTCTCTCTAACAAACAAAAACGATGTAGCCTTTCTTAATTTGAAAAATGTCCCAGGGGCTTCGTGTAAAGTATCCCTCAAAATTAAATTTCGGTATCGAATTCCGTGACAAGATCGATTGAGGAATATCAATTTTGGAGAAAATCGGCTGAACGGTTTAGCCGCAAGCGTTGTTCACAGACAGTTTTTACCGTCAACCGATTTTTCTATTTCAAGGAGCCATAAAACATAATTCTGGATACATCACGTGTTGGAGGATATTTCTAAATTCATCAACTGAATTTATCTACTTTTCCGTTACCAAGGTCCTTATAAGAGTTTTCGCCGTTTGACATAACTTTCTACTCCGTAAAAATATTTTCGGATAAGTATTAAAACGAATAAAATCGTACCGCAGCAAGAGCCGAGTTTAGCCTGCGTCATTCTACATCTGTACATTCGACCAAAACATTTTGAATAAAAATCTATCTTAATGTACTGATCACACTCGGGCATTCCCAGGTTGGGGTAATGTAAATACCTAAGGAGCGGATTTTGATGATCTAAAACATGGCCAAAAATGATCAATGAAATACTCTTAAAATGTTTTTAAAACAAGATAAATAAACTAACCGAGCCATTCCCTAATATTACTCTGATATTAGACTTTTCCAGTTACAGTAGCCACCGGAGAAAGATTATTTTTAATTAAAAATTATTAGTCTAAAAACTTCCTATGATTAACCATGTCACAAGAAATATTAACAGATTTGCCAATCATATTAACTGAAAGTGAAATCTGCAACTAGATTTATTTAGCGAGAGTCATAAAAACTGCAAGTTCGAAAGTTCGAAAAGTGCCTGATTTTATTTTGAACACAGACATAATTTATTATTAAATAAGCGTTTTTGGTATGTGTTTGTTTGTATGTGTGTGTGTGCGTGTGTGTGCGCGTGTGTTTATATTATATGAATGTTTATAATATTATAATGTTTATTATATTATATGAATGTTTCATAAGTCTAAATTTAAGTTTTTAAATTATTCTACTTGCCAGGAATTATTAAAGAAACCAGAAATATTACCCAGATCTTCAAACAAATACACAGTCGGCACATTAATGTAAGCACTGCCTATGTTGGACGTAAAAGTGAAATAACCCCTCAATTGACGGCAGGTGGCAGCACACTGAGTGGAAAGCATATAACGCGTGTCGGGTGGAAGTGCAGTAGTTGCAATTGAGAAAGGGATCGATTTATCGGAAGGCCAAACAGGCATGATCATTGGCTTTCAAGACCAGGGCAGAAGCATTTCCGAAACGGCTAAATTTGTAATGTGTTCTCGTGTCGTCTTGGTTAAAGTATGGCAGGGCAAATTGGCGACATTGACAACCGGCTCCGAGGCAACTGAAGAGCACCGCGGGCCATACATGTCAGGGAAGAACGACGGCTGTGAAGGTGTGTAAGGGCAGACCTGCAACTGACTGCCCAGATGAAACAAGGGGTTGTCAACGGGATCTCGTCAACAATCGTTCAGCGAATAGGACTCCGCAACAGGCGCCTGGTACATGCACTCACGCCGCCGCCGACGAAGGCCGGAATTTGCACATCAGTACAGCAACTGGCCGTCCACTAGGAGGTGACAGGTGGCCTTTTCAAATTAATCACGTTTTCCGCGCCATCGGACAGATGGGCATTGGCGTATACGCATGTCGCAAACACCCAGCAACACTCGCCGGATGGATTCAGGCAGAAGAGGGAGCATGATGGTGGATGTGGAATGTTTTCGTGGCATTCTCTGCGTGATCTCGTCGTTCTGGAAGTCACAATGGATCAACAAAAGTACGCTGCCATCCTTGGAGACCAAGGCCGCCCCTAATGCAGATCGTTTGTCCTCATCAAGACGGCATCCAGCAGCAGGACAAAGTAACGCGTACTGCTCGCAGTGTACGTGCGTGGTTCGAAGAGCACCAGAAGGGTTTACACACCTCCCCTGACTACCAAAATCCCCCGATCGAGAATCTGTGGAGCCATTTCGATCGTGCTGGTCGCGTCATGAATCCGCAACCGAGGAATAACGCACGGCACTGGAGCCGGCATGTCTTCCTGCGCGTTTCGCTTCCAGCAGTGCCGCAGAAGGGGCTTATCCGGGATTTTGACGGGTAGTCACATTAATGTGACTGGACTGTGTAGTATATAATCTTTGCAATAATTTGCACTTACTCTTCATCAGTATCTTGACTAAAAAGATTTAATTGAAATTGTGTGCGGTTTTGTGCTTCCTGGGTTTGCATTCCCCTCTGGCCCAACAACTGTGCCATTAATAAATTGAGTTCCTCTCGACCAACAGCTGGGACATCAGTTGTTGCCATTTCTGTAGCATCCCGGTCTTGACAGCTTTGAGGGGCAGCTTCCTGCAGAAGTGAGCTTTCACTTGAGGGGTTTGGATGTTCCCTGTAACTGAATAAAAACATGATTGAAAATCACAAACAAATAAAAATAATATTAAATACTTATTCCTCATAACTGCAGAAACCTGTCCATTATTGTAGCTCTTCCCGTTAATATCCACATTCTTAATTATTCACCAACTACGTCTTCGTTCCCACGGGCATGGAAATTGACCTAACTTCATCCTCTTCCTACGACCCAAAGCCCTCTCCCAATGATTTCCGGACTAAAATCATTCAATCGACAATATAAAAAATCCTGGGAAAAGGTGGTTCACCGACAAAACTATTCGCATTTAACAAAGAAAGAAGTATGAAATCCATACCAGGCAGGTTTCAGGCCAGGTTGAAGTACACAAATCGCATTACTTCAAGTTATCGAATATTCGAAGAAGCCCTTGATGACGGGAAGATGGCAGAATCACATGCTTTACTGAAGTCTAGTAGCGTTAATACTTCTGTCTTTGACCTACTCACTAAATCCAGGAACTAAACTTTCCATTAGCCTCAGCGCGGTGGATTAAGAACCGCCAGCAATTGGTAGTGTCGTGGAGGAATACTCATTGACAGAAACAATGGCAAAGGGTGTCCCGCAGAGATCCATTCTCGGGCCATTGTTTTTTATAATATTCGGTAATGACTTGACTAGTTCCATCAGTTTCTATAAACATCAGATTATGCAGTCGATTTACAAATGTTTATTCTCGAAAGGCTTTGTGCACTGAAACAATTATGTTGGATAGCGCCAATAAGGATCTGGAAACCTAGCTGAAGTGGACAAAATAAACGGTATTTCCTGCCAAATCACAGTAATTTGTTCAAAAAATTTCAATCACGGGTGAAATACGCATACTGAAAATGTTATTCTAGATAAAACTATCATATATTACTCTCAAAAACTTTGGAATTGTAATTCTTAACAATAATCTCCAGTGGTATTTTCATGTAAAGACAGTTACAAATGTAGTATAATGACAAATTAGTTCTCATAGGATTGATGGAAAATTGTACCTTGCAAAAAATTGCAGTAGAATCAAATACTACAAAGTATTTGATACAATCCTCTTTTGTTCCGCATTTCCACTATTGCGACGTTGTGTACGATTTAAGCGCAGCACTTGCCAAGTGGTTACAAAGAGCTCAAAACGCATGTATTCGCTTTATTTAGTCTAAAAAATCATATATCAAACTATTTTTAATATAATCAAATATTGCGGCTAAGCGATATGCGGATGTAGCATTGTCTCTATTCCCTACTAAAAGTACTAAAAACTTACACAAAAAAGTACTTCATACTTTTGAAATTTTCGACAATTTAGAGTTGTTCAGACATCATAAAAATCGGACCTACGCCACTTTCATAAGTGTATTTCTCGATAAGTCTCTATTCTTACAAGATTTTTTTTTTAATTAAGCTGTTTTTGAGAATTTTGAAAATGTCCGAAGCTCTTCATGTAAAGTACCCCCCAAGTACACACATATTTTACATTCGCGCCGTAGGGAACGGGAACCTTAAAATTATTTATTGCTAATTATTGTCAATTAATTGCCACCAATTGGAATTAATTGACACGTATTTTTGTTGCAAAAACGGGCTTTTTAGTCCGTAATTTAACTTTGTGAGCTGGTTTGACAGGTCAAGCCAGCTCACACCCGTTAATTAATAAGCAATAAATTATCTGAGGGTTTCCGTCGAACTACGACTGGAATTTAACCCGTTTTCGCCACGAAGATGCGTGGCAATTAATTAGCAATAAATTATCTGAGGGTTTTGGTCCGAAATCCGAACTTAACCCGAATTTAACTTATAAGTGCTGGCGTCGCGTCAAACCAGCTCACACCGTTTTCGTCACGAAAATACGTGGCAATTAATTGGCATTAAATCCTTTGTTATGTTTCATTCCGGCGTGCTGTCATGGCAGTTCCAGCTTGACACACCTGTCGTACGGGTTGTCGCCGGGCCAGCCCGCGCCGCGTCCACTGAACACCGAGGAATGCCGCCGGGCGTGCATGGCAACCACCCCCGTCCCCGGCGAAGAAATCAGGATATGTATTAATTAAGGCATATTTCAAGTATTTTCTTTCCGCTAAACCAGCAAATTAAATCTAAATTGCAAAATGCATTCACTGCGGTTTTTAATGTTCTGCTAGATCACGCATGCGTCCATCCCCCACTCCGTTCCAGAACAGCCCGGCAAGTTGTGGATGGAAGCGTGGTGAGTGGCAAGTCAGGGGAGTGGGTCACCATGAACAGATATCCGCCCTCATTTTATTCGATTTCACGCCTCTGGTAAATGTGCGACGGAGTAGGTTATAACATCGACACCAATTCACAATTGAAACTGCTTTTAATACAGCCATTAGCATCTCCCAACAATGAGAAGGAATTTTCAGAATTTCAAGCTGCCTTGACGCGACGCGGCGTTGCCATTGTATCTCCTCCTGGCATCTCGTGAAATACTCTAGCAAACAAAGCACGGAAAATTCCAATTTGCAATTTCAAAGATTGCAAACATTACGCTAAACTACTCGTATTTTAAAATAATATACATGACTTCATTTAAAGATTAGTTAGGAAGAACATTTTTCATTACGTACTGTCTCTATCATCAATTTGTATGTTTATGATGATAATATTTTGGAATTTTCGAAAATAAGGAGGGTTCACCAAAAATGAGCCTTGCACCAATTTTAAAAGCGCTCTTTAGTCTACTCCAGAAAAATTAAAGAAAAATGTCAAGGAATCTTTTAGAAAATTTTGTGTTTTTGTTGCGAAAATTTCTATATTCCATGCAAAATAACGCGGAAACTATTCATATTTTAGAAAAATTATACAAAATTGAAAAATTGACCTTATTTCAAGATCTGATCTGATAGAATTTATGGTTCAGAACAGAAACATCCGTTCCCAATTCAAGGTGCCGCGACATCTGTCAGATCGATCGGAGAGTGTCAATTTTGATGAAAACTTGTTTACAGTTCAACCGCTATTGTTGTTCACGGAATGGCAAGGGGGAGGCATTTGGGGACCCCAATGTGTACGTATTTCTCATACAAAATATCTTGTCAATATTTTGCATAATTACATACTAGGTAACATTACCTTAAAAAACGGGCATTTTCATATTATTTAATAAAAAGAAAAAAAAAGCCTGTCAGGAAACCAAACAAAGAATAACAATTAGGCCCTATATATCAATATAGTGAACAGTTCCCTTCAAATTTTCAAAATCTAGCATTGGACAAGTAATTTTGCAGACTAAAATACAAGAATACATGAAAGGATTTTCTTTCTTTTGAGTGTCTTGCCTTCATAGGTAGGATAGTCTTGACCAGTATAAATGTGTCATACTTACATATTGCATCCAAGTTTAGTTCCCCTATTCCCTCGTTTATCAAGGGAGCCAGCAGCTGCAGCAGCTATATAAGCACCATTATTCTCAAATGGTCTCTCCTGAATTAGCTGTCCATCCCAACCGAATATCCTGATACAACCAGGTACTTCATAACCTAAAAAAGAAAACTTTTTGAACACGAAGAATCCATAAAAGTTTTTTGAATTTTATCTCTGTACCAAATGGGGGACAGCCTCTGATGGGCTAAATTACCATTATTTTCATAACAACATTAATATATTTATTTTATTCAAATAGCATACCCTATATTTGGAATCACTTATTTGATTAAGTAAGTCTATTGAAACTGCCACATATGCGAAACATTTTTGTTTTGCCATGGGGTTTGTATTGCATCATGGTTCAAATATCACAATTAATTTACAAAAATCTTTCCAAGAACCAAACTAAAATGTTAATAGAAATATACAAAATACAGATAGGAAGCAGCAAATTCCAATTTTAATCTTCACTTTCTTCTGAATTCATCAAATGTTTCAGATGTGATTAATACTATGTATGTCTTATGTGCAGATGAAGTAGTCAGGAGGTTCCTCGCACTAATTACAGAGTTGACAACGATGAGCAGGCAGTGGGAAAGTGAGGGGACTGAGGATGGTCAAAGTTCAATTCTGAAAGAGAAAGGACATTGGTGGAGTAGTTTAGTTTAGTTTCTTTTATGTAGTGTTCCAGTGTTTTTTGACATTAAATTACTGTTCATTTGGAAAGCTCTTTGTTTTAATTCAATCCCACATGTAGCCTGTTAATTTAGGCAGCTCGAAGTCATTTTCAATGTCTCCCCATTACTCAACTCTCACCTGTCCTCTCCTCTTTTTAGTACCCTAAGTTATTAGCAACTTGCATTTTCCAGGCCCACTTACAGAATAGGTGACTGACTTTATAGTAGAGGTCGACGAGAAGGGATGAGACCTGTCTAAATAATAAACTTAAATGAAATATGAATACATGAATTTCTTGCTCACTTCTACTAGACTTTCTTTGCTAACCGAAATACCAATAAATATTTAATTGGCTGCAGCCTATGGTACACTACAAACTTATTCACAAAAATATCAATAACTTCTTGCAAAGAACTTTATTTATGAATTATGAAACAGACTTCTTCATAAATCCAAACAGTATTGAAGTAAAACTATAATCAAATGTGTCTTTAATTTCAGTAGTATTCCTTGTATCTGCATGTTGATGCACAATGCTTCTGTAAATACGAGTAAGAAACACATCAGGAAGAAAATAGTGAATTAAAATTCAATTTGTTACCTTTTCTAGAGTTTTAAATAATTTCTGAACATTGCCTTTTCATGTCCTTCCAATAACAATGGAACATTTAAGTTATTTATTTTGTAAAAGCTAAGGCCAACATGGAACTTACTTATTTCACTGGTGGAACCACAACACTTATTCTTAAAGACTTTCAGCAATCTTCTTGCAATGAATGGATTCCCTAAAGCAGCAACTCCTAATAGCAACAATGGTAGTGTTGGGTAATAGTTCATTGAATCTAAAAGAAGTTCCTTTCCAAAATATGCCTTCTTTGTCGAGAAAAAGTATTTATGTTGAAGTTTTGTGGATTTTAAGAATAATATGCAAATTCAGTATTAGACTTTTTAAGTTAACAAAGCAAATATCAATAGTTGTGGCAATTCATAAAAGCTACTTGAATTTATGCCAGTTTTAAATTACTACACCTGTAATCATTAAAACATCTAATAACAAGTCACATCTTTTAAATCATTTTACCTAAGTCCCATCAAGGAATCAAGAAGAACTATGCATTAAAATCTCAAATTTCTTTGTGTTCCAAACATAAATTCAAAATTAAATCAATGGTTTCCACCAAATGTGGATCATGCAGCAAGAATGTCTCCGACATTGTAAAGAAATTTCATAAACATTTGCTATAGATGTCGGATTCGGCAGTCATGCAAATATTTCTGGTATTCTTCATCTGGTATATCTACAAGAATTCTAGAAGGAACAATAAGTAATGCAGTAATGTTTCTCAGTAACTGTGTAGACCTTTCTGGACAAAGTTCCCCAGTTCCTTTCAATTTTTAATTAATCTCTTCAAGCTTCACTTTCTTTGAGATTAGATGAGGAGCCTCTTTCAGGGTATTGGTCATTAACCAGGGGAGTCTCAATAGTAAACTCCTTACTCTGCTGCCAATATTACCATTTACCTTTGTAAATCAAAGTTGCGTAATACACGAAACCATTGAAAACGACTCTTACCCCAATTCCAGCAAAACACTGCTTTCAACCTCAATCTCCATATTAAAAATTTGGTGCCTCAATAGCAACACTAATATTATAATTCATTATAACAATTTGCAGAAGGTTGGGCTTTAAAGAAAAGCCATCAGGAAAGTTTAATTTTAAAACTATTTCACAGTATGAAACTAGTTGTGCTACAGAATGGCACAGACTTTCCTGTATTCGTTTTCTATTTCCTTTGGTCTCAGCTAGTTATTCAAACTTGACCGTAAAAATCAGACCAATGTCACCTTTATAAGTGCATTTTATCTACTCTTACAAGAAATTTAAAGAAAAAAATTGGAGCCATTTTTGAGAAAATTTTGAAAACGTCTCAGGGGCTTCATGTAAAGTACTATCAAAAACAAATGAATGATTTTCAAAATCGCAGAGCTTCAACTCAGGTCAAATGGACGGGGATTTCTGCAATTTGAAAAAAATTCCTATCCATGGTTTAGGTGCTAGTGTTGTTCACATATACCTGACAGATGGATGGACGTTTTAAACAAACAATTTTGATGTATTGTGTTTCAGAATACTACATTTTGCATGGATAAAAAAAAACAGGATTACATGGGGGAGGGGGGTCATTCTAGTTACTTTTTCCTTAATCAAACAGAACAGATTGTATAAATGAAATTTTAAGATCCAGACAACCTTCTCTAAAAGAAGTGTTCAAAAAGAATAAAAATGTTTACTGGTCAAAGTATTTTAACATGTTTTTTCAATGTTGATGGTTTAAGAATCATTACTGATTGAGAGGAAGTAATGTGATGAAAAAATAATTCGGGTCTGCTCAGAATGTAAAGCCATGATCTGTCCCTGATGTACTGTCCTTCACATGACCTCTTATCAATGTTGAAGAATAACAAACATATGCATCAATGAAATAATATGGAAATTAAGAAACATGTGACCACTTGATATAAAAAATTTGCCACAATAAATTTGGCTTTGTTACATGTTTTCCTAAATGTACATGTAGCTTCACTATGCGCACGTTTTGTTGAACTCTCCTTTTGCTTGTAATGGTAAGAGTAGAGATAAGGGCGAGTTACTATTTTGTTAGCAATGCAGAAAAATCATTCTTACAATTCGTGTACCAATGCAAATAAAGTTTTCTATAACTCAGAAACAAAAATGACTATTTTTCAAATATTGCTAATCTTGGGATTTTTAAAATTTATTCTTAATTATGTTAAACTTTTACTCATCTTTCAACTATTTATAGTTAAAATGACAGGAAGGGATTCTGAAACTCAAGAAAATGTGTGCAGATAATCTTTTTCCCCCTACGTCACATATAGTTTTTACTCTTTTTTTGACTGAATAAATTTAAATATAAATCTCATTATAAATACCTATCTTAGATGATAAAAAATTAAGAAGACCAATGGTCTAACTTAGTATTTCCTCTTACATCCTGTGATGACCAATCTCATCAATACTCACATCTTGTGTTCCTCATTTTTCATTTAATTTTTCATCTAGAGTTCCACACCAGTGTTGCACTCACCTGATGGAACATGACCAGATGCAGGTATCAGAAATTTCCCATCATCTTGCTGTACACCTTGTTTTAAAAAGACAGAAACTCTGACTTTCAGATCTTGAAAAAAATTAAGAAGACAATATCTTATGTTCTGAAGTTCTCCAAGTGTCATATGGCCATACTTCTGCAATTAAGCAAGTTTTGTCAGGTGTTTAGCAATGGGAATTGAAAATACATCGAAATGAAACAAATTATGAAGTGTTAATTTTTGGCAGGTGCAATTAAACATACAAGTGCAAAAGGTGCAGATAGGAATGTATTTCATACATCAATGAGCATCTCATAGGCAAAGTCAATCTGTTTTTGTAGATATGGTGATGGAACAAAACTTCTGACAGCATCTAGATGATTCAGAGTAATGAAAAGAATATCCAGTGGTTGAGATGCCATAAACAGCTGATACTTGAATGTCATTGTCATCAGATCATACAATTTGTCCATGCTTGCCTTATTCAAACGCATTATGGAAGCATGTGCTAGATCTTCAAAAAGTTTTCGTAAGGCATGTTTATTATAAACTTCTTGAGGTTTGAAAAGCTCCTTTAAAAATCTATCATTGAACATAATTCCCACAATATCATTCATCACTGCAACAAACACATATGTTAATAAACCGGTCCTAATTGGCAATAATAAGGCATAAGATACTATAACACACCTTTTATGGATTTATCTTTTGCTATTCTTTGGGCAGTTAGTCTCTGATCTAAAATATAAAGCATTTCTCCACCTAAATTTAAAAACAATAAGGGTACTGTATGAACACTCGACATGGTATTTCCCTACTATATTTTTAAGAACCAACAAATCTGAATAGAGAAATTTATTGTAGACTAATGCACAACTGGAGAAAATGCAGGGGTAGTGTAAATAGTAATACACGAATAAGAAATGGTAAAGTATAAACTCGAAATCGTAAAATTTGAAAGGATTTTTTTTTCACATTACAATTCTGAGTTTTTGCATTGCACGAAGTGCGTAACGTACACAACTGTTTGAGCCTCTGCGGCTGCACAGTGCGCATGCGCTAAAGTACGATTTATTTAGTCGTGCACTTGACGTACAACATTTTAATCCAATCGAGAGCTTATATATTGCTATAGTGACGTCACTATGTGGACGTTCAAACTCATATACATCAAGTGCATAGTTAAATAAACCCTAGTATTAATTGGCACGAAGTGACAGCGAAGCCAAATAAGTCTGTTTGATTTCTACATTCTCATCATGCAAGAAATTGGTGACTTGTCCATAAATATAATTATATTTATATACGATATTAATTTTATTTATTTAATACTATAATAATTCCTTATAAAAACAGTGGTTGACGGGCAACTCTGGTCGAACCTGACAGGGGAGGCTTCTATTTCGTATCCGACTTCACCCAATTAGCTTCACGCACCAGTTGCGTCACATTATCGGGAATTTTAAATGCAATCACTTACCAAAAGCATCACCTTCTTATAAATAATTGAAACAGATATATGAAGAATTTTTTTGTTATTGCAACTTTTATTTCAATTATAGTGTCATTGTGTTTTTTCGTTAAACATTGTCACTTTATACCTCTTTTAAAATGTTTCTCAACACTTCTTGCTCCCCACCGAACTTAACGGACTAGTCTGGCTTTTCAAACGAAGTGCAAGTGTTGTCACGTAGTTCGAGACGCAAACTGGTGCTGGGCAGAACGAGTAAAAATCGGTCCGCCGGTGTAGCCCATCCTTGTCTTTCCACCATGGAACCTGACTCGAATCGAAGGCTGAAGCATTATGAAGATTTAACGCGCAGTCTGTCGACAAAAGTTAGAACCGAGAGGGGGGGGGGGCTCTTGCGCATCGAATCCGTGGTTACTGGGTCGGTGGTTATACGATCCACCCCCTCCCACCATCGTAACCACCGAGACCCTGTTTGTATCTCGGTGGTTACGATCGTATCCGACTTCTGTCAATGAGCTACAGGCACCAGTTTGCCTCACAAAATTCCCGGGAATTTTAAATGCAACTACCAACCAAAAGTCATCACCTTGGTCCAAATCGTTCAAACAGATATATGAAGCATTCTTTTAAAATCATTGCCCCTTTTATTTCAATTACATCGTCATCGTGTTGCTTTCCATTGAAAATTGTCACTTTATGCCACTTTCAAAATGTTTCTTTGCACTTCTTGCTCTCCATGCCACATGGCGGCCTGCTACTGGTCCAGGACTGGTCTGGCTATGCATGGTGTAAGAAATATCGTAGATCTGGCTTTTTAAACGAAGTGCTCGTGTTATGTGGTTCGTGATGCAAACTGGTTCTGCACATAACGAGTAAAAATCGGTGCGCCGGAGTAGCACACTCATATCTTTCTACCATGGTTGGAACTTCATTCATGAGTTCATGAGTTTTCTTCCTACAAAATAAATTGAGCGAAAACTGTTTAAGGTGGTGTGCTCGTGCCAGTCGCTAGACAAACACTAGATTATTTAGTATAGTAGGAGATTAACAATAGCTGCTTGTAAACGGATGGAGCATTTAAATAATTATTTGTAAATAGTTAAAAGAGAAGTATTGAATAGTTGCTCTGGAAAAACAATGTTTGCAAATAAATTTGGTCTCTCGAATGATTTTTCATTTTCATAAGTTGGTAATGTCTAATCAAGGTTAGGTTGACTTCTGAATCCATCATTTTCTTTCTGCTTTTGACTCTTAGTCCACATTGTTTACAATAAAACAATTATCGTCAAATAGAATGTGATGGTGTGATACAGAATTTTAAGTTAGGATGGTTTTATCTCGTACCCCAAGAGAAACAGTGGCGACAATAGCATGATTAGCATAACTCCTAGGCTGAGAGCCAATACTTCCGGCAGCGATGAATTTCCCAGCATTTTAATTAATTACTCCTCTGAATGCCCGATGAGGTATGTTACATTTAATGCCAAACAAAATTGAATTAAAGAAAAAAGTACTTTCACTGTATAACTTCTTCAACTACTTAAAAAGACCTACGCCAGCAAAAGTCTTCCCTTAAGAGTCTGTACAAATTTAAACTTATTTAATTAAAAAATTAGGCCGTAAAGGGTTTCATACGATCTTGAAGAACACAAATTTTGCTTCATTTGAAGTATATTTTGGGAGTACTTCACCGTGGTCGATCAAACGAACATACTACTTTAATAAAGTTAGAAAGTTCGCCGGAGTGGGCATTGACGTTATTTACTCTTTGCTGTAGTCACTCAGAGATTTGCTGTTTTTTGTGCAAATTTCTAAGTGCTATCATTCACATTTTTTCGCACAGTTCACAGATATACGATTCTGTAGGACAATTGAAGTTCTGTGTTATGCCATAGAGTAGAGATATATATCTACTCTAGTTGTATCTCTCGTCTATGTGTTATGCTTAGCTAGTAGCTACCTATATTTAAATATAAAAATTGTAGAATAAAGTAAAGTAAAAGTACAAGAAAGCAAAAATAGAATTAATATTGGCATTTTCAATAGGAAATAATAATTAAAATTAAAACAACTATTTTTCATATAATATCTAATTTAAATCTCAGTATCTCTTTAAGTACTTCTTTTTGATTCGTGGCTAGACCTTGAATATTCCAGTTTCCAAAAATAATTTTCCGTTTCCTTTTGCTTAAGTCCTCGTGTTTTAAGTTTATTCCAAGGGAAATTACTAGGCCTTTTTGCAATGGTTGTGATAACACAGGGTTTTACAAAGAATGAGAGAGGGGGGCAGGCCCAATGCTTCAATCCCAACCTGGAGTATTTTACTTCAGGCTACCATTCCCTAGGAAGGTTGCCTTCTCCGCGGCTAAGTGCGAAGGAGAAATAAAGAAGGATAGCAGAGAAGAGTAGAGATGAAAGGAGATAAAGTGAGCGGAAAGAAGACTAGAAATGATGGCCTCCCTAGCCCTCGAACCCTGATAGCGTCGGGTCGAAAACACAAGGATCTGATTAATAAAGAGAATGAGTACACACGAGTAGCGAGTGGCACAAGTGGAAGCAATGCCCCGCAGAGACCCTCCTCGTTTTCCGGGCTGTGAAACGGCAATGCCACCCGCACCGCAGCTACGTCGAACAGCCAGCGAAGATTCTGACAGCGATAGCGGGGTTCACTTCGCCGATGAATAGGTTATTCTGCCGAGATGAACATGATATTGATTATATAGCTGAGGAAACTAAAAGAAGAACATACTTCTTGGGTTTAATTATGAGTCCATCGAAACTGAGTATTCTTGCGCGGTCGCAAAGAACAAAGATAATGCTGAGTATTAAAAATACAATAGCTCATAAGTACCTTGGTGTGTGAAACGTGGATGTGCAGAAGAAGCAAAACATACGATTTCTCAAAAGAGATTTTTCACAAGACAGTTGAGTAATGTTTTGTATAGCCAAAAAATAACAATCAAGACAATGATAAGAATGTACAAATCGCTGGTTGAAAGCATATCTACAAACGATTCAGAAGTTTGGATTTTAAGTCAAGAGTGAAAAGCAAAAATTAAAATCAATGGAAATGAACTTCTGGAGGCGCTGTTGTGGCCTCACATTACTGGATAAAGTACCCAATGTTGACATAAAAAATCAAATGGGTATTGAAATTGATATAATGGATGTAATTATTGCTAAAAGATTGAGAAGATATGAGTCATATCCAAAAGATGCCGGAAAGTCGATGGCCTAAGAAAATTTTAAAATGGCTACCACAAAGAAACAGGAAGCGTGACAGACCAAGAACAACATGAAAAAAGAGATAGAAAAGAGATCTTCAAAGGAAGATTGGGAAGATGTAAGGACTGGCATACGAGGTGCGGCGTCAATCCTCAGATCCTGACCACCACCACCACTACTATTACTACTTTTCATATCATTCATTAAATTTTTCTCGTGAGCCTCGTTTTCTCTCGTTTACTCGTAGTTGCTTTGAAACCTGTATACATTTCATTAATTTCAAACAGAAAGTATGCAACACTTCACTTTTTTCCAAAAATTGTACATGACCTTTTTTGAAGAGCTAATTTTGTACAACGGACTTTTTCTGAGGCGAAAATCTCTATCTTCGATTTGGTAGTTTTGAAAAGTTTTTTGCAATTTTCGAAAAAACGAGCAATACGCGAAAATTAGAGTTGCGCTATATTTCTTATCGTTTCATATTACATATGTGGAGAAAATTTAAAGAAAAAATGAGGAGTGATATTTGAGAAGTTTTTGTAATTTTCAATTGCAAAATACCCAAAAACTACTTTCTTTAAAGAAATTGTACATTCAATTTATTGAGAGCTAAATTTGTACAACGGTTTTGGTCTGAGACAAAAATTTCTAGCTTTATTTTTGACTAAGCTTTAACTTTTTCCCTAATTTTCGAAAAATCGGGTATGTCAACAGGAGTGAACCTTGCACCATTCTCTTAAACGTCCTTTACGCTATTCAACAAACTTTATTAAAAATTTTGGAGCCATGTTTTGGAAATTTTTGAAAATGTAAAGTATCCCCAAAATTAAAATATCGGTTTCAAATTCTAAGATCCCTACTAAAGAGTGCAATTAGCACTATCCGTTCGAAAAGTTTGAAGAAAGAATTTGGAGCCGTTTTTGAGAAAATGGCATTTGAGCGTTTCTGAAAATTCGTGACTTTGAGCTAGTTTTTACAGAAAACGGTACAGTTTTCGAGAAATCGGATTATTGGCATTATTTAAAGCACATGTACCCATAAATAAATAATGCGAACAAATCGCTGCTAATTTCAATATTAACAATGTGAGAGACCAGTAAAAAATTTACATTTTTGTAATTTTTGAGAAAACAAAAGTATTGAGCAATCACGTTTGTCAAGACTACATTTAGGACTATCCTTACCAAAAGTTTAAAGAAAAAACTTGCAGCCTTGTAGAGAAAACCTTTTCGTATTTTGTTAATATTGCACCTATCGCAATGTTAAAATTGCGCAAAAACTTCTACAATTTTGAAGAAATGTACATTACTTCAATGAAAGAACTAAATATGGAATACAAATTTAATTTGAAGGAAAAATCTCTATCTTCAATTTTGTAGTTTTAGGAA